CTTGTATTTTATAGTGAATCATATTTATACTCGGTATGACTACAAACTTAGTTTGGCATATTATAGGATTTGCTCATTATATGATGATTGGACATTAGTTTACATGTCTTAATTTTCTTTAACAGTTTACAACAATCTAGTAGCTTTTATAAGATTAGGATTTTGCAGTTTTAGATAGAGATCTCTAAGTTAATTTTTGTTAGCTTGAGTATAACTTTGTAACCTTAGGAGTTTATCTTTGTACAAAAATCCATTCTAGCCGGGCAGTGGTGGCGCATGCCTTTAATCCCAGCACTCGGGAGGCAGAGCCAGGCGGATCTCTGTGAGTTCGAGGCCAGCCTGGTCTACAAAGTGAGTTCCAGGAAAGGCGCAAAACTACACAGAGAAACCTTGTCTTGAAAAACCAAAAAAAAAAAAAAAAATCCATTCTAATCTAAAATATTTTGTGGATTTGCTGTTGCTTCCCAAGTTTAAAAAGAAGATATAATAATAAACAGAGGATTCACTGGGACTAAGAAATGTCACAGGTGCCGCCCTTTTCCAGGAACAGTCAGAGCTGCTCCTGGCTTTCCTCCTACGCAGGGTTCTCCTGCTAGTGTTTCTAGAGATGGAGGTGCCAGCAGTTCAGTATTACTGTCATGCTTCAATAAGATCTTATTTATTTACTTATTTAATAATTTATTTATTTATCGTTTTTATAGCAAGGAAACTGAGGTGAAGCAGCACATTAAGCCCTTTTTCCACTTTTTTGTTTCCTTTCCATTTCTGTCTCAGAACTACTAGTGTTTCATCCATTCCAGCTTTCTGTTAACTAGACTCTATACTCAAGTTCCTCATTCCAAATGTTTCCTCCTACTATATCCTTTGTACATTTACAGTTCTTCTGTAAATTTTTTTCAATTTCACATTAGGTCTCACTTTTTTTTAAATAAATAACTACCTGTATTAATTACCTGAATTGATAATTCCACAAATGTTTGCTTGTATGGAAACATCATATTGCCTTCCATATGTAAAACTATTTTTTTAAATTTAATGAACATTTTTTTCATTTATTTTAAATACCCACTACAGTTTTCCTCCCTTATCTCCACCTCTTTCCTTCCACCTACCTCCCATCTATCCCATTTCCCCATTCACTGCTTCTCTGTCTCCGTTCAGAAAGGTGCAAGCCTTCCACGGTCTTAACAAAGCATAGACATCAAGTTGAGGCAGGGCTGAGCCCCTCCTCCTACATCAAGGCTGATAGGATCTGAGGGGGAATCTGAATAGCTGCTGCTTTATTAAAGAAGGCTACACTTTCATACTCTACAATTGCACAAAAGAGTAACTGGGAATGGGAGGAAGGGGGCTTGTGTGCTGGGTTGGGGTTTGTGAGCAGGGATTGGGGGAGCTAGCATGGACCATGAGGAGTTAATAAACACCACAGTCATGTGTTAATGGAAGGGTTACCAGTTCCTCTTGCCAGAGATAAGGAGAATGACTCCCTTTACAGCAAGCAGGAACTTTCTTGATGCCCTTGTGGAAATGTCAACTTTTGTTTAAATGCCTGAACTTGGGAAAAGGACTTTCTCAAGTGACCATCCCTTCTATTATAGAATGTTCTTAGTTTATCCAATAGCTAATGCTTAAAGTTAACAAAGACAAAGCTAGACAAATACTAGTGTGACCTGAGTAGACCTAGGAAATTATATGTGGTGATATTTTATTTGTGCTGAAATGTGGTATTTTATTTGTATGTCAATAAATAAAGTTTGTCTGGAGCTCAGAGGTCATAGCTAATCACAAACAGAAGTCAGGGGGTGGTAGCACATGCCCTTAATCCGATAACATGGCAGGCAGAGTCTCTGTGTGTTTAAGGACATAGCCAAGCATGGTGACACACGCTTTTACTCCTAGTACCAACCATAGAGACCTGGAGGTCTGTATAGACAGGCACTGATGAGGAAGTGAGGTGGCTGGGCTTAGAACCAATGAGAAGGCAGAACAACAAGGCAATAAAGGCACAGGTTAGACAGGAAGAAGCTGTTTTTGACTCTCTTGGGAAGCTATTTTGAGGTGGTTGGCACCTTACCTGAGCTAAGGTTAGTTGGCGGCTATTGCTCTGATCCCTACAGCTTGCACCTCTGTATTTGGCTCTGTGTTTCTTATTTAATAAGATGGTTTAGAAATTTGTCTATGATTATAAATCTTGTTTGTCAAATATACCTTATTTATAAAAAAATCTTATTTGTCAAATAAATCTTATTTATTAAGAATATGTTACTCATCTAACTTTTTTAGCATTTTGATGTTAACGTGCAGGAATCGGTAGAATTATGGTATATGGCTTCACAGTGGTAGGGATTTTTTCCCCAAGAATTGTTTTGTGTAAATATGCTCCCATTGTATACATCTTCATCTTCCACTGAAGCCCACCCAAAATTTCTCAAAGAAAAAGGCATAAGGGAACTCCCATAAGACACAGTGAGAATTATTAATTAAAAATGAAAGTCAAGCCGGGCGGTGGTGGCACACGCCTTTAATCCCAGCACTCGGGAGGCAGAGCCAGGCGGATCTCTGTGAGTTCAAGGCCAGCCTGGTCTCCAAAGCGAGTTCCAGGAAAGGCGCAAAGCTACACAGAGAAACCCTGTCTCGAAAAACCAAAAAAAAAAAAAAAAAAAAAAAATGAAAGTCAAAAGTTGCTGGAGAATTGTGATCCACAATGTCAAAATCCTGGGAAATTATCAAGCAGCAGTAGTCCCCATGTAGTTCATTCCACATCATTATCCTCTTTTTATGGGCTCTCTTCGCTTTAGTTCCTATGCATTCTAAAGTTTGCAGACCTCCTGCTCTAAATATTTTGTTCCTCTGGATCTTAACAAATATTTCAATAATTGTACAAAATGCTTTGTTGCAAATAGCTGAGAAGAGCCCATACTTAGTCCCCCTCTCTCACTTTAAGGCCATGACCACTTATCAGTGAAAGGACCCTTTAATTTTCATTAAGATAAACTCTTCTTACCTTCTTCAAGGGTCATGTGCCCCACATTGGGCACCAGTTGTGGGAGTCCCTCAGCATGAGAATGAAAACCCAGTGTGGATTGACTTCGTCAGTCTGGATCAGAATTCAGGAAGACTACTACCAGATAGAGCATGGTCAGCATATTTAAAACACAGTACAATTTTGGGAAAAGGTAACAATCAGTCCAATTCCAGGTGCACAATAAAGCTTAGGGTGTGATTACATAGACATTCCTTTAAGTGCATGTGACCATGAGAGTGGGTTCTATAGCTAAAAGGCCTAGAACAAATGTGATCTCTGACCAAGAAAGCATAGATATCAGCAGGCCATAGAGTACATGTGACATCTCCCCTCAAATACTTAGTGGACTAAGGAAGGAAGACTCTGGGATAATTATTCTTGGGAATATTGGTGAGGTCTGCCTCTGTAGCAAAAGGTGTGTAAGGTCTACTGCATAGATAGCAAAAAGTTTACCAAGTCATTAACAAAATCCACTCTTAGTCTTCTGGATGCAATTCAGTTCTTTGATTTGTATCTCCTTCATTGAGTGGACACATCTGGGTGATTAACTTCCTGGTTCTGTTAGTGCTTCTTTGTGAGTACAAGGACCTCTGTGCCCCCAACATCCCATACATTCCATAATCAGCATTAGCATGTGACTCCACCTCCTATTTTCCAAGTTCAGGTACAAATGAGTAGCCCTACCAAAGTAGATTTCCTGAGCCAGAAATTTACTATAGTGACCCAGACTGAACATGCCAGTCAAGTGTTCGTGTGGCCTTAAAGAACCCTCAGTGGAAGGCCTGCAGGCAGGACACAGGATGAAATTCCTTCACAGAGCGGTGGAGCACTGCAGTAAAGCAGCTGCACAGGGATTCTTCATGTCATTGCCACTGCTGCTGGCTGCTGCTTCAGCACCATCACAGATTCCAGACAGGGTGTCAAAAAGTGGACAGTGGACTTGGGAGCAAAGACCAGGGTGCCATAGATCCAAGTGTACTCCGGGACAAAGACCGACACTAATGGTCCAAAAATTCTGGGGTGGCAGAGGCTACATGTGCTTTGCCATTTGCTCTTTTGAGATAGGGTCTCCCTTATAATCATGCTTGCCTAAATCTCAGTGTGGTCTCCTGCAAACAGTGTCCTCAGTGCAGAATACAATTGTGTGCCACACATAGCTTCTGGTTATTTTATTAATAAATGTGCAGAGTTACTAGAAGTAAGGCATGGTGGTTTAGGCCTTTAATCTTAACACTCTGCAGCAGAGGCAAACTTATCTTTATGTTTTTTTAGACTAGTCTGGTCTGCATAGCATAGTAAGCTCTTGTTCAGCCAGGGCTACAGAGTGAGACCCTGATAAAGAAGATGAAGCAATAGAAGCATGATGTAAAACTACATATTCTTAATGCGGCTCACTTATTTTCACTGATGATGCAGAATGACAGAAAACCAAATCTGTAGACTCTTATGTCACATGTGTAGTAAAATATGTTTAATTTAGCCATCAGAATATTGAGACTCTCTAGTAAATATGGAGTAATAAGTAAAAAGCTCATTGATCCCATAGGGATGGGCTTTTTCTACAGAATAACTGTTTAAGAGAGTGCATATTAATGCATAGTTTTTTTTTTAATCAAACTTTCTTCTTACAAAAATTAAAATTATAACACGTTTTTCACAGCTCGCCTGAGGTTTTCCTTAGCCTGGAAACTGGTTAAGTTTCCTTTGTCCTTTCATAGCAAAACCTGACTAATTCCCCAGAAAAGAGTCCTCCTGAGTGCAGGGAAGACTTTGCAGTCCAGCCCCAAGTTCTGCTGCAATGTCAATCTCTGCAGGTCTGAGGCAGTTCTGTGCCTGGGGTGAAAGCCAGGGCTGCCAATCATTGGGCTCCCTCACTTCACAGCACTGTCCCTAAGGGAGCTGTTTAGATCACTCAGGCCTCAGTAGCCAATCTGGGCCTCCAAATGGACTGTCAGTCAGAATGGGGAGGGCACTTCCTGTCCGCCATACTCTAGGCTTGGCTGCCCGAGTTTTAGGCAGACTTTGGTGTCAGTGTGCTGGGCTGAGACCGGCCTCTGAGAGACGTGAGGAGAGCGGGTGAGCACGGAATCCGTCATGGTGAGTGAGGGGCCGCTATCCCCACGGGAGAAGCCGGAGTGGCGTCCCCCGCGGGACTGTGGACAAGGTGTCCGGTCTCGGTGGCCGGAGTGATTCGCTTTGGTCTTCTGAGGTCCCTGCAGCTCCCAGGCAGAAGCAGGACCTGTGATTTAGCTCTGCTGTTTTCGCCTGCGCATAGCATGGGGGTGCGTGAGCTTTTGTGTGGAAACTTTCATGGTGCGGTGCAGGGCGCGCGCATGCGCTGTTTTTTCCCCTTGCCGGTTAAGGCAGATTTGCTAATATGCAGAGCCCTGGTCACTCTAGTGTCTTATGTAAGGGTGGTCCAGTCATGTGTGTCACTAAGGCCAGCTTCCTGGATATCTTGGCCTCGTGCTGTTATATTTAACTTTATATTTATTGTGTTTTTATTTCTAAGTTTGCTCTCATGTTCTATTGATCTTGATCTCATTCTTTCCTGGACGATACAGCGCCCCCCCCCCCCCCCATCCCAATAGTTTTGTTTTTGTTTTTGTTTTTTTCTGTGTAGCCCTGGCTGTGCTGGAACTCACTCTGTAGACCAGGCTGGCCTCAAATTCTCAAGTGCTGGGTTTAAAGGTCTGTGCCGCCACCACCGCCCAGTTCAGTACAGTCTTTATTGCAATTGCATTCAAAGTTAGAAGTCAGATGGTGTCACTGTGTGAACTATTTATTCAGTCATGTGCTGATCAATTTTTCTTTCATGACGACCTTTTCTCATATGATTTTTGTTGTTGGTAGCATTAATTGTTAGACTTGTATTGGACTTTTGCTGTATTTATAGCTCAAATTCTGTATTGTCGTAACATAATGTTGACATAATAGACAAGATGATAGCAAACCACATGGTTGCTTTCTACTCAAGGTTAGTCCAGCTCCCTGCTAAGGAAGCCCCTCCTCCATCAGGTACAGTTCCCAGTGGGATCCACATCTCTCCATGGTTAAATGTGCACCCTTACACCCTTTCCTTTAAAAGACTCTTCAGTTATGCTACCATGTATGTAGGAGGAGATGGTTCCTGTGGCCTAGGCAGGTAGGCCCCATACAGCTAAGGAACAGAGGAAAGAATTCCATGACCCCAACCAGAGACAGTTGAGTCCATCCATGTGTTTCACCAACTGATTCTAACAGTTGAAGCCAATTGTCGTCATCCAGGTCTTTCACCTTCTCCTCAGTCCCCAAACAAAGATTTTGCTTGGCCCCATTTTTATCCCAATTTTAGCCTGGTCTGGGCTGTGATCAGACAGATTTGTGACTCTCTATGTTTGCTGGACTGAATACTTCCAAGGTTTAATTTGTTAAAATAATTAAATCAGTGGTGGTGGTGTATGCGTTTAACCCAGTACTTGGGAGGCAGAGGTCAGCCTGGTATGTAGAGCTAGTTATAGGGCATCCTGGGCTACAGAGAGAAATCCTATCTGGAAAAAAAAAAGGTAAATAAAATTTAAAACTTTTGTAGCGTTGTTATTGCCTAGTTCGAATGCATGTTTCAGATGGCATCATCTCCAGCAGTCACACTTAAGCACACCAGGAGACTGACTGCCTCATTGCTTCCACCACACCTGATCCAAGGTTTCCCAGATTCTGCAAGGAAACAGGGTAGGGAGGGAAACAAGGGATAATGCTATGCACTCAGGGAAAAGATAGGGACTTAAACCTGAGTTTGGAGGCCTTGAATTGTTCAATCTCTTCTTAGATGGGGTAGAGAAGGTTATATTAAGGAAGTCTCTAATCTAGCTAGGGGAGTTGTCTTCTGCTATTTGGAGGAAATATGTTTTCTTTTTGTTTCTCTCTCTGTCTCTCTTTTTCTCTATCCTCCTCTGTTCCTCTCTCTGTTTTCCTTAATAACTTTTAGTCTTTTCTTTTAGAGCTTTTTCTTAGGTTGTATTCCTGTTATGGTTTACATTTGATCAACACCCTAAGGATCCTATCTTTGAATGGTTGGCCCTAATTACTAGAAGTAATTGAGTAAATTAGGAGGTATGCCCTTGTGGGAGTAGGTGTGTCTTGTTTGTATTGGTGTGTCAATGTGGGCTGACTTTGAGGTTTCTAAAGCTCAGTGCAAGGCAAGTGTTTCTTTCTGCCTCTGTGCGAGGATGTAACACTCAGCTCCTTCCCTGCCACTGTGATTCTTCCTTTCAAGATGAGAATGGACTGACCCTCTGTCACTGTAATTAATCCCCAAATTAAAAGCCTTCCATTATAAGAATTGCCTTGGTTATAGTGCTTCTTCACAGCAAGAGAAGAATCAGTAAGGCAGGTTGTGTAATATTTTGTTATATTATCTCTCTTTATTCTGTACATGTCCTATATGGTGATATTTTATTTGTACTGAAATGTGATTTTATTTGTATGTTAATAAATAAAGTTGCCTGGGGGTCAGAGCTAATAGCAAGCCATAGCAGAAGCTGGACGGTGGTGGTGCACACCTTTAATCCCAGCACTTGGGAGGCAGAGCTAGGCAGATCTCTGTGTGTTCAAGGATATAGCCAGCATGGAGACACATGCCTTTAATCTCAATACCAACCATAGAAGACCTGGAGGTTTGTATACATGGGCAGTGACGAGGGGGTCATGTGGTTGGGTTTACAACCAATGAGAAGGTAGAATAGAAAGTCAATAAAAAGGACAAACGCACAGGAAGTAGGTCTCTTGCGGAGAGGTACGACAGCAGCGGCAGTGAAGGGTAAGGTTTTTAATCTCAGCTCTTAGCTATTGCTCTGACCTTTTGGCTTTTAACTCTGTATTTGGCTCTGTGTTTCTTATTTAACAAGACGGTTACATCTACAGTCCTGGGAAATCAAATAAGGCTAAATGAAAGAGTATGGGAAAGAAATCATGCAAGTGGCAACCACGTGAAAAGTTTTATTATTAAAAGGGGGAAGGGAAGGTGGGAAGGAGAAGGGAAGAGAGAGAGACTGGAGGTGCGAACCTTGCCAGAATTGAGAGTTTTCTCTTAAAGTGGACTTTACGTAGGATGATGTTGTCAGGACACTGCATGGACCAGGGGCAGGTCTGAATGCTAACAACTTTGTGTCTGAGTATGTAGTCAGTTTTGGAGAAAGTTCTGTGAAGCGCTTGTTGTAAGGTGTTCACCAGAAAAGATGGCTGGGACATGGGTTTAAGCCAATAGAAAGTATTATCTGTCTGCAAGTACACTGGATGTTCTAGATCCCAGTGTAGCAATGATCCTTTTTCAGGATGAGTTTTTAAGCACAAAAACCATGTTCTGGGTTGACATACTTCATTTAACAAGAAAAGCCAGAAGCAGAACTACAGTCTAAAAAGCAAGGTTAGTACATTTAGAGACTTCCTATAAATATGCACTTTGATGGATTAGATCTTGTTTTCCTCTTGACTGGTGGTAGTTTCTGTGTGCTGAGTTTTGCAGCCTAAATGGCATTTCCATCTTGGAGTCAGTTATGCTAATATCTAGGGGCCTTCTAAAGACTTGGGTCTTTTACATTCCCCCTGGACTTAGTGAATGAGTCAAATCATGGACTTGTCTGTTTTAGTTAAGATGCAGGTCTCTGCCATTAATCTAATAGAATGAGAATTAAAGGCCTAGTCAGAAATTTAAATTAGAGTTTTAAATGTCATCATGGTGTATTTTACCTTTGATAAATATATAGTGTTCTTCTTCATCTCTTTTGATTGAGTTTTGTTTGAAGAGCTTCAGATGCATTTTATGTACTCATGAACATATTGGATGAACAATGAGGCCCCATTAGTTATTTATTTCCTCCTGTGAGCTAGGGATCAAAACCATGCACTTCCATGTGATAGTCAAATAATCTGCCACTGTGTCAGGTTTTATATGGAATTTTCTTCAGCCAGTCATGGTGACTCACAATTGTACTCTAAGCGCTTGAAAAGCTGAGCCAGGAGGTCTCTAGCTTGAGGCCAGACCAGAGCACAGAATAAGACCCTGTTCCAAATGTGTGAAACAATTTCCTCATATAGGACCAAGATCTCTCCAGGACATATACTGTTCATATTCTACAGTGTTTCCTTGAGAAATGAAATACCAAGTTTTCCTAGACCCATAGGAGACCAAGTGCTTATGCCTGTTACATGGTTAGCCTTTCCATTGGCAAGAGTTAAAATCTGTCACCTTCACTTTAGTTTTGCCCTTCAAGAAGGTGCCCTATATCTCTGTATTATACTTTGATTTAATCAGTACATTTATTTAGCTGAGCATGAGGTCATCCTAGTATTTTGGCAGCAGATGCAGAAAGTTCAAGACTAACCTGGAGGAGCTTTTGTGGAGGAATGTAGTCTCACCTTATTTCTTTGTTTTGGTGAAAGTGAGCAGCCCCCTTCCTTTTAATGTAGCCACACCATCACCATCAGCAGAGACTTCATTTCTAAACAATGTAAGGTAAAATAGAAGCAATTGCTTTTCCCTGCTAATTCATTTTTCTTGCCTGATATTTTTATGTTTACATTTTTGACAGTTGAATCAGGTTTTTGTACATGTCAAGCATTTGCTCTTGTGCTTAACTTTACCCACTTCATGACTTTTGAACTTTAGTAGAGAGGGTCATTTTTCAGACCAACAATGCTTGCAGTCATGAAATTAATAGTAATCTCCTGAATCACTGAATTGCAGGTGTGTAACATTGTCTCTACTTTTGTGTATGTTTTTACATTTTTATATTATTTTCAAATGTCTGAAAAAATACACACACACACACACACACACACACGTGTGTGTGTGTGTGTGTGTGTGTGTATACCACTTGTCTTCCTGGCATTTACTGAAGGCAGAAGAGAGCATTGGATTCTCTTGATCTGGAGTTAGGAATAGTTGGTAACCTCTAGTCAGTGTTGAGAACTGGTCTAGGACCTCTTCAAAAGCAACAGGTGATTTTTTTTTTTGAGACAGGATTTCTCTGTATAACAGTCCTAGCTGTACTGGAACTTGCTTTGTAGACCAGATTTGAACTCACAGAGATATGCCTGCTTCTGCCTCCCAAGTGCTGGGATAAAGGTGGGCACCACCACAGCCGGGCACAACAGGTGATCTTATCTGTTGACTCATCTTCATATATTCCCTCCCTTTTATAGTTTGTTTTATTGTTTTAGGATCAGTATTTACTTTACTAATGTTCTTGAGAACTCATTGATCTCTGAGTCAGTAACTTCTTAAAAAAATGCTTTCCTTCCTGGGAATTATTAGTCTTACAGTTCAATAGGGGTCACTCCAGCTTTTATGATAGACAAGTGTAGAATTAGAGTGAATGTTTAACTCTGTGGAGGAATTTTGAGTGAGACCTGAGTGCTTTCTGTTTTTTTTGTTAGAGACAGGGTCTCACTACGTACCTTCTGCACAGGAATGGAAGGTGTCATCCTCTTTTTCTGTTTCCTTTTAAAATGTGTTGGTGACTGCATTTGATATTTACTGACCCATGTCATAGAATGTTTCGAGCACACAGAATTATGTAAATATATTCTCAATGAAGTGTACATTTACAATTCATTCAGTCTCACTGTTTCAATTATGAACATGCATGGGACATTTTAGGATGCAGTGACCTATAAGGATGTGCATGTGAACTTCACTCATGAAGAGTGGGCTTTGCTGAATCCTTCCCAGAAGAGTCTCTACAAAGATGTGATGCTGGAAACCTACTGGAACCTCACTTGTATAGGTAAGAATGTGAGGTTTCTGTCAGTTTTTAACTTAAGGGGACAAGCTTTTCTTGGAGATTGGTGCTCTTCTGTGATTTTGATATGAAAGGGGAAGAATCTGTTGAATAAATCAAGCATGATACTAAGATTAATGATAGTAATTTCAAGTGTGCCCAATTTTCAGTAATGTAGCATGAATCTTAAAAAGTTCTTATTAATAAGATCAAACCTGGACCAGGTATTGAGGTGAATTCTGGAAGATCAGAGAGACAGAACAAGCCACAGCTAACCTCACCTGGCCAACTTCTCAGCTAATCTTGTTTCCTCAGACTGGATGCTTCTGTGTCCTCATCCCAATGGCTCTCAGCTGAACTGCTCAAAAGCCTGAAGCTTAACCAGCTAAAAGCTTAACCAGCCAAATGCTTCTAGTTTCTGGTCTTCACACCTTATATATCTTTCCTTTCTACCATCACTCCCTGGGATTAAAGGCGTGTGTCACCATGCCTGGCTGTTTCCAATGTGGCCTTGAACTCACAGAGATCCAGAAGGATTTCTACCTCTGAAATGCTAGGATTAAACGTATGACTGCCACCATTTTCTAGCCTTTGTATCTAGTGGCTGTTCTGTCTCTGACCCCAGATAAGTTTATTAGGGTGCACAATATTTTGGGAAACACAATACCACCACACAGTAATATATCACATACATTTTCTGGTACTGTATTTTAGGTTACAAATGGGAAGACCATAATATTGAAGAACATTGTCAGAGCTGTAGAAGAAATGGAAGGTAATTTTCATGTGCAAGCTGATATATTTGTATGACTGAAGAAATGTTAATATACCCTGAACTTTTAATGAAAAGCAACAGTATAATAAGCACAGCTTTGTACTGTTTATTAAATTCACACACACCATGTACTTCATTGTCACTGTTTGCAAAGCATTCCTTTAAGGACAAGACAAGGAAACAATGCCATAGTAGATGTCGCAGTTTTAATCATAGCCATGTATGAGGCACGTTGTAGAACTGCCCATCCACTTACTGTCATGCCATTCAATTGTCATATAAGGTGTACCCATTGATGAGGGGATTAATCTATGTCTAAGACCTTTTATAAACAAAGCTGTCATATTAAAGCTAGTGTTCTTCATTTTCTTGTAGTGAGTGACTTAGCATAGTTTAGTGAGAGGAGCACTTTATGAACAACTAGGAAGTTGTCTTGATGTAGCAACATGAATCCCTATTTGCACATCTGTATGACACACAAAACGTTTGACTATGTGAATGCAATGTGAAAACTCTTTATTTGTTATCTTCCATTACCAGGGATGTCATCTATCACTCTGTATACAAGCCATGTGAGCATAAGGGACATAGAAAGAAGCATTGTAGTTCTGTCTCTCTGAGAACAACTGGAAGATATGTGGTAGTCCCCACTATGAGAAGACATGAAGACTGTGATGCAAGTTTACAATTAACTGGTTTTCCAACTTCAGTGGGAATTCATCAAGAAACTCTCATTGGAGAAAAACCTTATGAGTACCAGGAATATGGAAATTCAGCTGTCTCTACTGGTTCACTGTGCACATGTAGTGTGGCTCACAGTATAAGAAAATGTGAATACAATCAGTGTGGTCAGACCCTGAGTTCTTCAAGTTCTCTTCAAAGATGTGAAAAAGCTCATGTGGGAAAAGAAAATAGTAAATGTGAGTCATCTACTAAAGGCTTTAGTCATTACAGGCATCTTCAAACACACCAAACACCCAATAATGAAGAGGATCTCTATGAATGTAATCAACATGAGAAAGCCTTTATATCTGATTGCTGTTTAAAAGTACACCAAAGAACTCATTCAGAAGGAATACACTCTGAGTATGATCAAAATTATAAAGTTTTTGCATGTCCAAATCTTCTTCAAGTAGATAAAATTCAAACTAGAGAGAAAAGGTATGGATATGATCAATGTGATAAAGTCTTTGAATGTCCCACTTATCTTCAAATACATAATAGAAGTTATACTGGAGAGAAAGCCTATGAATGCAATCAGTGTGGCAAAGCCTTTGCTTATAACAGTCATTTTCTTATTCATCTAAAAAGTCATACTGGAGAGAAACCTTATGAATGTAATCAGTGTGGTAAAGCATTTGCACATAAGAGCTATCTTCGAAGTCACGAGAGAATTCATACTGGAGAGAAACCCTATGAATGTAATCATTGTGGTAAAGCCTTTACGTGGAAGAAGACTCTTCACTGTCATGAAAGAATTCATACTGGAGAGAAACCCTATAAATGTAATGAATGTGGTAAAGCCTTTGCAAAGAAGACAAGTCTTCACAGTCATGAAATAATTCATACTGGAGAGAAGCCCTATAAATGTAATCAGTGTGGTAAAGCCTTTGCACTGCAGAGTAGTCTTCACAATCATGAAAGAATTCATACTGGAGAGAAACTCTATGAATGTAATCAATGTGGTAAAGGTTTTGTCCAGAAGAGTAGTCTTCTCAGTCATGAAAGAAGTCACAATGGAGAGAAACCCTATGAATGTAATGAATGTGGTAAAGCATTTGTGCATAAGAGTTATCTTCGCAGTCATAAAAGAATTCATACAGGAGAGAAACCCTATGAATGTAATCATTGTGGTAAAGCCTTTGCACAGAAGAGAAGTCTTCACAATCATGAAATAATTCATACTGGAGAGAAACCCTATGAATGTAATCAATGTGGTAAAGCCTTTACACGGAAGAGTAGTCTTCTCAGTCATGAAAGAATTCATACTGGAGAGAAACCCTATGAATGTAATCAATGTGGTAAAACCTTTGCACAGAAGAAATATCTTCTCAGTCATAAAATAATTCATACTGGAGAGAAACCCTATAAATGTAATCAGTGTGGTAAAGCCTTTGCACATAACAGTAATCTTCTTAGTCACAAAAGAATTCATACTGGACAGTACCACATGGATTTAATCAATGTGGTAGTTTCAGATGTGAGTTGCCGTGTGGGTGCTGCAAGCTGAACTGTGTTTTCTACAAGCAGTACTTGTTAGAGTCCAGCTCCATAGGAGTTCAGATCCCAAAGAGGAGAACAGGCATCAGCAAAGGAAGGAGACTGCCATGACTTGAGGGTGAATCAGGATAGCTGCTGCTGGACGGACGCAAAACTCAGTTATGGCAATAAACACGAGTACAATGCAGTATTTAAAGAATCCAGGGAATGTTGTGGCTCAGGGTAAAGCCCCTGTGTAGAAAAGCCTATGTTTTTTTCTAGAGGTAATTCAAAAGGAAGAACTCTGCTTTCTGGAGTACGCAGAAGGTGTGGAAAGGCCGCATTGGACTGAAGAATGTAGATCATCAAGGGACAGACTAGGTAAACTTTTGTCATTGGGAAATGTCCTGAGTGTGCCTGCTGGAGGCCCCAATATCAAATTTTATCTAATTCTCTGTCAGCATCAAGACCCCCCCCAAAGTAAGATTACACAATGCTTTATTTTAAATTTTTTAAATGCTAATGAGAATGAGTAATAGTTGCAGAGAGACATTGTAGAGTACAAAAAACTCCTGAATTAAATCAGTTTTTATATTTTTTATTTTAAAGATATGTTCACCTCAGAATGGAAACTGGGATGTATGTTGAGTTGGGGAAGAGATTTTGCTTATGTTTTCACTGTAGAAGATACTATTCAGATTGATATATTGAGGTTGATAAAAGTTACATTTGAACAAGAGGGATCTGCTAAATGAAAGATGGATGATATTTCATTAGACAATTCAGCCATTCAAGCTAAACTAACTTATAAAGAGTAATAAATACCTTTTATTTAATCAGGCAAGAAAAAATAAAAATAAAAAATAATATTTTTAAATGATAATTTACCCAAGGCACACATGCCTTACTGGCATGAAATGAAACATAGGTTGTCTTACACCACATGTGTTACTTCTATGTTACAATGTTAGAGTGAAGATTGTCATGTCGCCCACAGCATTTTGGACATGAGCTTTTGAGTTTTCTTAAATAAAAAGAATATTTCTTTTGTATTGTTTGCTGTTAAAATCACAGTGAAGAGATTTAAAATTTTGGAAGTAAATTCAAAGGGTTACTACAATTGAAACTTGTTTTCTAAATCTCTTAAGAGTTGGAGTGATTTGGAACTAAGATAAGATATTTGAGCAGAGTAGTGGTAGCCTATGCTTTCATCCCTGCAGAGATAGTCAAATGTCTATAACTTGTTTTCTAAATTCTAACCATGGTGGTTCACACCTTTAATCCCACTACCCAGGGACAAAACTCATACCACTCCTAACTGGTATGTATGCACACTAGAGAAATCAGATACCGTATTTATAGGACATTGTAATAAACCCTCTACAGAATTACTAGAAAGGCAGCTAATAACCAATGGGACAGGAGCAAAGATGTAGATGAATTTCTAAATGGTCTTATTAGATTAAAAAACATGGAGCCAAGTGTAGGGGTGAAAGCCTTAAAGAGATAAGGAAAATAGGGAAAGCCACCAGCCAACCTTACCTCACCATCTCTGCAGCTTCCAAATGCGAGTTACTTCCTATCTACCCATGTCTGTATGCGTTGCTGTTCTGCCATCTGCTTTGCTCTCTCTGTTCAGCTATATCACTTCCTCTTCCTACTCAGCTCTGTCACTTCCTGTCTGTCTGTACAGACTTTCAGACTTCCATGGTTAACTAGTTTTGGAATTTAAGATGTGTGCCACTACACCTGGCTTTGTTTCCAGTGTGGCCTTGAACACAGAGATCCTGCCTGCCAAATGATAGGATTAAGGGCGTGTGCTACTGTTGTCCAACTTCTTTGTTTACTTAAAATGGCTTGCTATTTCCTCTGATCTCCAGGCAAGCTTTATTTATTAAAGAACAAATAAAATATCACCACATTTCAGCACAAATAAAATATTGCTAGATTTCAGCACAATTAAAATATAACCACACAAAGAGTTTTTGCAGCTGCCGTTAACCTCTTCTCTGTGCATGCAACTGTGACCATTATTGAAACAGATGATACCCTAATTATGGATATCATGTTTATTGGTAAATTGGAAACTAGGAACTCTTCATAAAGCAAAAAGGAGTCTATCTACATTTGCCTTTTGGATTTTATTGCAAATGCTTTCCATATAAGGAGAATAAATATCCTCTCTTTGAGAAACAAATCAGGACATTTTATGAGACATGGAGAAACTGATAGTGAATGGCATCTATCATATGGTCATCTGGGTACACCTTACAATGATGGATTGGATCTCTTCAAAGTCAGAGTCCTCAGAATGGAAGGAAAGGTATTACAGTGGAACTGGTACATATCAGAATTCCTTAGTGACTGGGATATGGTTAGCACTGAAGAAATAGTTCAGTTGCTTAAAGTGCTCACCCCTCCTCCAGAGAGGCAACTATTGAACTGCAGGGACCAACAGAATGGTCAAATCATTTGGCTAAGGCATGGTTTACTGATGGCTCATCAACCATTGATGGATCCCAAACTAATGGAAAGTGTCAACCTCTAGACTTGAGATGGAATGGCCAAGTTTGAGGAAGAAGATACCACAAAATCAGTGAACCACAATTGGCTCTAAGACAAACAGCTAAAGGAGGCCAAGGGAACATCTGCAGTTCATGGGGCCTGTGCAGTGGCATAGCTATACGGCAATCAAAATGGAAAAGCACTCACTGGCAGGTAAATGGGAGGCATGAATGGAAATGGCAGCACCCGGCAAAACTTAGCAAAGACATGAAATTTTATGTATTTCATAAGAGTAAGAGAAAATGTCTGAAAATAATGAAATAATGGGCAAATTGGCATCGTGTTTAAGTCTACAATATTAAAATTTGCTGTGGAACACATTCAGAAAATCAGTGAAAATGATAGATTATACACTTAAAAATGGAGAAAGTTTACCCTAATACTGAAAAATAAGGAAAATGTAGAACCAAATATACCAGGAAATCCATATTATCGAGGTTTTTGGGGGTCTAGGCCCTCAAAAGCCCACTCCCAGGTTCTGGGAAGAATCTGTGACCAGCTGATAATCTCATCTTTGATGATATTAAATGAATCTATGCACACAAAACTCTTCAGTCCATTAATTTTATTTTCCTGATTCAAGATTCTATCTACACAACTTCAATTTTCTTACACTTAGCTCCTCTCTGTCCCTTCTCCCACCCTATCCTCGTTCTAGTTAAGCTCCTTTTGCCTCATCCTCATCTTCGTTTCTCTTTATCTTGATTCCTACCCATTCTTCTCCCTGGAACAGGTCCCTCACCTGCCAGCAGCCTGACTCTGACAGTACCATGCAATGCTTCCAGATCCTTTGAAAGAGTATACGGCACTGGTGGCTGGAGCTGGTTACCATGGCAGTGCTGGTTTTAGAGCTTTACTAGGAGGAGGGGGTGAGGAGAGAGAGAGAGAGGCGCAGAGAGAGAGTGTGGGGGTGCACATCCGGCTTTTAGGCTGGGACGCAGTCACCTGCTGATGACATAAAAAGGTGCCAGATGAGACCCCTGAGCTGGGCGTATACAGAATCCGTACATTCCAGACTTTTGCTTATCATAGAACAGGAAGTAGATGGGAATAGGGGCTGACTAGGAGGGCGTTCGGTTGGCTCTTGGGGGGAATAGGGAAGGGGGTGTCTTCCGAGGTAGACAGGTGTTGTTGGATGATGGGCTATCCGTCCTGGAGCCGTGCATCTTTCTTAGCTTGGCACTCTGGTTGCTTTTGTATCTGACAGGATGCTGGTGAGGCAGGAAAAGCCTGAAGTAGATCCGACCTGTCCAGATGGATTTAAGCTGGTTTATGGAGCTTGGGAAAAATTTGAACATGTGAAGAAGCAGCCATGAGAAGATTAGTGACCATATGTGGTGTTTAGTACTTTGCTTATATTGGTTAGTGTTAATGGGAGAGACAGAGATTGGAACATGTTAAGCTTTATCAGAGAGAAATTATTTTAAGGCACCTGTTTCCTTTACTAGTTTGGTATCCAGGAGACAGGTGATCAATTGTTAAAAGCATTTCATAGTAATAGATGTTTTTATTAAAGTCTGTTTTTGTAGCACCCAGATTAAAGTCTGTTTGGGACTGGGGGTGTAAATACCTTTTAGCTGTTATGGTTTCTTACTTGATCTCTGGACTTCAGTTCTGAGATGATCCTGTACCATTAGCTGAACAGTGGGTTAGAACAGGGAACTGGGAAGAGAAAAGCTTGTGGTACATGAGAACTTATTTCTTTGGAATTAGGGACAAGGCAAAGATCAGGACCCTGTAAGCACAGGCGGGTGAGTCTGGAGTGAGGCAATGAAATGAAAACTCCTATCTTAGCTGGAAATATTTTCCCATTAAGTAACCCTGAAAGTGCAATCAAGTCTGGTGAGGTGGGTAAGGCTGTCCTCCCTACCCTGACAATAGGGAAACAAGGAGAGGTGACACCCCAAAACTCCCAGGACTGATTCAGTGGCTCTGGTGTCCAGAAGGAAAGAAACGGATTGCTTCCCTGCTGCATTCTGGGTTCCCTGCCATGTCTGTAGCCAAACCTAGGTCTGCTGGAGGTCTTAGCTTGATGTTCCCATGCGTCTTGGTGCCTGGGGGCAGTCAGCTGACTGGTTGTCTTTCTAGGTGGTACTTTCAACAAGGCTATTGATGGCCTGGCAGGGCACTCGCTAGCCCATGGCCTTTCCCCACACTTAGAACAGGGACCCAACAGCATTTGGGAGTCAGCAAGTACCAGCACTTGTGTTTTCGGGCTCTTTTTTTTTTTAATCTCTTCCGTGGCACACCTTGAATGCCACAGATGACACTTTAGCCTGTGGGGTCAGGAGCCTTGCTCTCCAGATGCTTAAGTTTTAGTTGGGGAGGTTTGGGGAACAAGAGACAGATTTTTTTTTGTTTTTTTTTTGGGGGGGACCTTGTTTTGTATACTTTTTAAA